AATATATATAAAAGGAAAAACTGAAAAACATTTGAAAGGAACCTAAAGCTTCACCTGCTAGCTAAATATAAAAATACAAATATACTTCCTATTTACCTGAATTAAAAAAATATATATTTTTTTAGCCCTGGCCATAATAAATACATTAAAGAAGAATTATGAGGCAAGTGATTTTCACTCAGCCTCATAATCTGAGCTGACCTGTGACAATGAGACTGTCACAGGTCGGCTCAGTAGATCGGGAAGTGAGCGAACACATACTGTCGCTCGCTCACTTCTCGATCTATCCCGGCAGAGAGCCATTACTGTCACTCAAGGCTCCCTGCAGGGATTCCGCCCTCCCCTGTCCGATCCTCCAGTGCTGACTGGCGAAACGGACGGGGGAGGGGGCGGGCACAGCTGACTCTGCCTCCGGATAGGCAGAGCCAGCTGTCAATCCCGCAGCTGGGTGGATCCAGACAGAATTGTCGGGATCTGTCCCGGCTGCGGCGTCTCAGTATACCGCGAGCTGTAGCTCGCGGTATACTGAGCTTTGGGTCACGGGAGAACGCTAGTTTGTGTTCTCCCGTGACTCTTAGGAGAACTATGGGGAAAAGCCCTGACCCCATAGTTCTCCTTTAAGAAAAGATGTACACAACCATTATATATTTTGTTTCAACATGTTTATACATGGTCTTTTTATAAACTGTAGATTATTCACTTCTTATTTGCAGCCACTGAATTGTAGTTTCTAAAATCTGTTAAGCCCATTAAACATTTTGGTAGAGCACACAACACTTTTCTAAAAGCTGTGATCCTGATTTTTACTGCTTATTATGTATTTATTTTAATCTGTTAAAAGGCTAATTCCAATAGCCTGTCCCTATAGCTGTTTCCCATTTGACTGGCAAGGAAAGGGTTAGTCTGTATGTGCTATTAAGTGACTAGCAGCTCTGTGTGCTTCTTAATCTCAGCAGGAGAGACCTACTGTATTATCCTGTAAGGTCAAAGGTTAGAACCCCCATTGCAAGTTTATTGAAGTCTTCTGTTTCATGTCAAAATTCTTATGGCTATGACTGCACTAAATTTTCCTGGCTTTGTCATCTGCAACTATTTATGGGCAGTACTGATGAGCTAAAGCTTTACGCAAAAGACTTTAGGAAGCTACCATTAAATAAAACAGAGTTTGTTGGCGTGATTTGCAACTTCAGTCATTTGTCTTGTGTTCATCAACAGAAAGCGTAATGTTAACTCGAAATACCTCTTAAGAAGTGAGAACTCATGTAAACAATGAAATGTTTATGCACACAGCAGGCCATTTAGTAATACGTAATGGAATCATGCGGTTTTTTTTAGTTCAACTATGATTTATCTTCAAGTAAAAGGTTCTCTATAACGTAAACAGTGAGATTAAAACACTGAAATACATAAAATATCCAATGCCTTTCAGACACGAGTTAACTAGAAACAACTTCTACCATGTTAATCTAGTAGCTAACTATGTAACATAATCGACAATTCTGCTGGTTTTCTCAACACTTCAGTGGCACACTGACCACTTTTCTTTAGCTACATACAAAAAAAAAGGAAGCAGAAAGATGCACCGATCTACAGTAGCATTTTTTGAAGGGCCATGGATGGCATTTATTGAGCCCTTAAAGTGTATATAAAGCCCAAACATTTTTCTTTAGTTTTGGATACAATTGTGAAGGGTTAGACCTTTTATTAGATTGTTATGTCTCTGGTCCTGCTGGGGAGTTTCTTTCTCTTTATTTGTCATGGTGAGGGAAAAAACAAAACATGTTTCACCAGATTAGGAATAGAGGGTAAATCTTTACAATTAAGATAGTTGTTCTAGTGCAGGGGTAGCAAACCTCCGGCCCTCCAGCTGTGGTGAAACTACAAATCCCATGATGCATCTTTCTTCGGGAGTCATGTCTGTGAGAATCTTGCAATGCCTCATGGGATTTGTAGTTCCACCACAGCTGGAGGGTCGGAGGTTTGCTACCCCTGTTTTAGTGCCTGCTGTCTAAGAAGGGATATTCCGCTCTTTGTATAGACTTCTTGTGTTTTAAGGACAGTAAGTGAAGGCAAAATAACCCAATTTAGAAACAAATGACAAAATAAAATAAAACCTGACTTAAATCCACTTAAAGTGGAATTGAACTCAAAAAGAGAAAATATGCTGTGTTATAGATACCATCTAGAAGTGTTAAACAAACACTAAACTCAGGAGTTAAACCTTAAAAATGCTTTGTAGTACACCAACTATTAACAAAAATGTAGCTTATTTATGTATCACTTAGCTGTAGAGACTCAAATCATCTCTGAATTTGTGCTGACACTGTCCTTCCTTCTGGAGGACAGCTACTTTTGTTCTCAATGGTCTCTGTGTGTGTTATAAAGTAGCCATCACTCCAAACTTCCTCCTACGATGGAGTACAATCTCACAAATTTGTTTACTAATTTGTATTAAAATTGTAATCCATCGCAGGAGAGAGCTTGGAGCGGTGGCTACTTTACCATACACAGGAACCATGGGGAACAGGGGCGTCCTGAGGCTGGGTGACACCCGGAGCGGTGACGGATAACACCCCGCCGTGACGTCATTGCGCACGCGCGATCGTCTTATTGACGCATCTTGGTGATGGACGTCGACAGAGAGAGGAGGCGATGTTCACTCGGCGGGACGAGGTATATCGGGTCCCCTCCTCTCTCCTGACACTGTCCTGACACCTGACTTTTCATAGCGGGTGACACCAAAATGACTCAGTCATTTTGGTGTCCCCCCTCCAATTACTCAGTAATTTTGGTGTCACCACTCCAATGGTGGGGTCCCCACCCTCTGCACCCCCCTGGTGACGCCACTGATGGGGAACAAAAGTAGCCACCCTCCAGAAGGTAAGACAGTGTCAGAACCAATTCTGACACTCTACAGGTGAGTGATGCACAAATAAACTACATTTTTGTTAATGGTTAAGATACTTGAAAACATTTTTAAGATGTGTCTCCTGAGTTTAGTGTCATTTTAATTGTGCCAAAGAAGTACCCTGAAAAATGTGCCTTTAGTCTTGAATTCCCATAAAAATGGTATTTCAATTCCTGCCCTCATAGGTGTTTATCTGAAGCTTGAAATCTAAGGCACTGTTGCCTCTGACTGCTACTCTTAGACGATTTAGAGTGAGATCACTGCTGTGCTGATCATTGATGTCATTGCTGTGCTGACCATTGCTTTTCTTTCAATGGTGCTCTGATATAAGATGGTCAACCCCACACAGAGACACAGTGCAGAACAAGTATTTAAAAGTCAGTAATGGGGAAAAGTCAATTGCAGTGACAAGTTATTTGCCCTTTGCCTGTCTTTGTGTAGGCACAGCTTCTAGAATTCAGTGACTCTTTAATGTAACAGGTAACAGCCCTCAAGACAGGTCCCCTCATTTATCCATGCGTAAAAATTAGTAAAATTTCTGTACACTGGATTCTAATGTATTTCAGTCATTGACTCTGATTAAGTATACAGATAGGCGCGTTTGACTTTCCTTATGTAAACACTTGATTTGGGTAAGTGATATGGGAAAGGCTGGCCATATACAGGTATATGTTTACATGAACGTTTATGCCATAACTTTTATTAGAATATTTGATAATGCCATCGGAGACTTGGCAATGTTACTTGAAATGTTGTGTGATTTTACCATTCAATTTGGGAATAAATTCTGTTCATTCAAGAATAATCTTCAAACCCTATTCCTTCCATTTTTTGTCACTACAGCCAAAAACAATAGTCACTTTGAACCCATTAAGTATTAGAAAATTAAAGCAATGTTCTAGGAACAATTTTTTTCAAACAAACATCTACTGGTGTATGGACAGCTTTCGAAAGTGGTAAATCCAGAAGTTTAGCAAAACAATCTAGCAACACTAGCATGACAGATTTACTATATACAATTATATTCTGATGTACCATTTTAATAAAAATGCTACTGTTCTATCGTTATAGAATAATCGCCTATGAATGTTGTCCTGGATATGAAAAGGTACCCGGAGAAAAAGGGTGTCCTGCAGGTAATTGCTCTCTCTCTCCCTCTCCTTCTCTCTCACTCTCGTCCTCTCTCTTTGCTGAGTTATTGATTGTACTGAGCAATACAGTGCAATGATAACCTTCTACTCCAAGTACCAGGGGGGACTTTGTGCTGCCTTTTGGACCTTGGGCCTAGAAAGATTTAATCTTATCGAAAATTGTTTTGCCCTGAACAGATTGCAGCAGTTTTATATAAAAAAAAGAGATCACATATGACACTAAATTTTGTTGCTCATAGCCCTAGACAATGTTTGTCCTGGGGCCTAGCAATGCAGCACTATTAGATAGAGTGTCAAAGGATAGGAACCCATGTGAAGTGTTTACTGCTGTCCAGTGCACCGTCAGAGAGATTTCCACTCACTTACCATGATGGTGGCCCTACACTATTATATACTGTGTGTATGTATGTCTATTTTCTGGAGATTGTCCCCCACTTCTCACCTGTCACAATGGCAATAACTAAAGGGAAAACTCTCTTATGAGGCACCTCAAACCTAATGGGGGTTCTAATTCACCACTCTAGACACAAAAAAAGTCTTGGCTGCACTTACACTTTAATACACATTGGGCAAACTACCTTTTTTTTCAAAATAAACATGTTAACCTGCCATATTATATGAAATTGTTTTAAATGTAAATAAGTGATTGATGAATTACATTTTAGTTTTATTTTGCTCTCAAAATGTCTCCATGGAGCAATGTTCATAATAAAATCAAAGTTTGCTAGTTGTATCTGCAAGTCAATGCAAGACAACTATTTTGCTTTTTTGCATGAGGTGTAAATCAGAACTCTGAGATAAGTGATGCATGATTAAAAAATGTATTAAAATGATACTACATTGAAACCAAAATTACTAACAGTAAACATGCTAATGAATTTCTGCTATTTCACAAACATCCATGTCATCTGCAGCACTTCCTCTTTCAAACATTTATGAAACCCTGGGAATTGTTGAGGCAACTACAACACAAATATATTCAGAGAAAGCCAACCTAAAACCTGAAATTGAGGGTCCTGGCAGCTTTACTATTTTTGCACCAAGCAACGAGGCATGGAAAGCTTTGCCGGCTGTAAGTACAGATCTCTCCAATAAGAATAATGCAGGATTGCTCTGTTGTAGAAATGAGAAAAAAAAACTGTAAATTACAAAAAAAATATGGAGCATTTTTCTAGCTTCCTTTTGACATATTTATCTCTATGTAATGTCCTACAGGAAATATTAGATGCTTTAGTGAGCAACGTTAATATTGAGCTTCTGAATGCACTGCGGTATCATATGGTTGACAGACGCCTTCTCACAGATGAGCTGAAACATGGAATTACCATACCATCAATGTACCAAAACCTGGACATACATGTGCACCACTATCCTAACGGTGTAAGTATATTTTGACTCAGTAGCAGAACTGTATTTTAGATGTAAACTGCAATAGTCGCATAACAATCCCAAATCAGGAAAATGTAAACAGTACATCTAAATTTAAATAATGTCTATGTTACAGTTGAGGCTTGATTCACACCAAATGTGTTGGGCTATCTGGCCGCTTTTTCCAGCGCAGCCCCAATGCTAGATAGGGCAATTTGCCTTATATTCACCCTAATGTCTTTTTGTTCTGATTCCCATTGTGCAACACATTCAGGAGACCTTCACTAAAGAGAGTCAGTGCCCCAGTTGCTCTCACTTCCCGCTAAGCCACTACATTGTGGATTTTTGTCCCTTACCTCTTAGGGGTTTATGGGTTTATTTGGGAATTCCAATTAACATGGTTAATTTTCTTGTGCTGCCTCTCAGTAATTTTTCAATATCTCCCTCCCAATAATCTCCCAGTTAGAGAATCTGGATTTGGGGAGGGTACCAAGGTGGTCCTTTGGACCAAAGTGTCACTAACTATTTGACGGATTTTGGTCACAGTAGGAATTTTTCCTTTCCCCTGTTCTCTGAGGTTTCTCCCAGTGGATCTATCCGCTTGCATACTCCTTAAATCTGGTTCCTTTGAACTGGCAGTTCAACAGTGGATCCCTTTTTTGGTCAGTCTTTAATATGACGTCTGCTGGACCTCAGCTGCAGGTTCCAAGATCTTCACCCACAGAAAAATTTGAGTACTCCCCCTGTATATGACTAGGTGATCCATTCCATATGCTGGACAGGGTGAAGTTTTGACATTTGTGACCACACCGTCTTTAATTCCTGGAGTCAAGGTATTTTTTTCCGAGAGCCCACATCCGATGATCTCAACTTTCAACAGTGAGTGTTTTGCATGTGAATACATGAATTTGAATATGCATCCATCACTAATAAGCCATGTGCTTCTCTACAGGGTCAGTAGCCAGTACACTGTGATACTTCTGCAGATTTCCCATAAGTGGAATAGTATAAGTCCAGAAGGCCTTCATGGCACTATTACTGGAGGTCTTCTGAGAAAATCTACTTATATTCTTTCCTCTTCCAATTATTTATCAGGATAATATTCCTAGTGTTAGGTCTAAGATTTCTGCCCCTAGCAAATCTACAGAGGATTCTGCCTCTACAGAGCTAGGTTTCTTTATTCATAAAATCATATATTTTATTATTGGTCAGGCAGGTTTACAGTATAGATATCTCTCCCCTGAAACACCTGTAGGTGTGAGTTAGGTGGACTAATTTTTATCCTCTTGGCCCTGGTTTTTTATACAGGTGTTTTTGATCACCCCATCCTCTCCTTTAAGGGTTCTGGGTTAGTATCCTTCCACTTATCCTAGCTTAAGGGTTTATTTTTCCTCTCTCCATTTTGATTAACTGCTGAGAAGGCTCTCACAGCCATGCATGTCTATTGTAGGTAACAGAGATTACATATTAATAAGGTAACATTCCTCTTATTATGGACCTCCCTCTCCCTGATGTGAAGGGTTTAGGGGGGGGGGGGTTCTACTTAAGCATCTGGCTAGGCTTATGCCTTTACTCTAATGAACGTCTTGTTGACCACCTTAGCTATTGGTCCAAATGTATTGTTCCACATGTTTACTTCATCGTGGAAAATTGCTTGTTCTCCACATTGCTAATTGAGGCCCATCATTTTGCAGGCAGCAGTTTTTTTCTGGTGATTACCTGTCCTGGTCTAGAGCACTAGGTTGTGCACTGGGTTGTGGCAATTTCCATGTATGCTTAGCCTTCCTTCTTCTAGCCCTTGTGCAGGTATTTATCCCTTTAGATACTTTTTGTTATATGATTTCCACATCTGATGGATCTCACAGGGGATGTTGCCCACCTTCAACTTGACTGCATTCAAACATCCCAAATTCTGTGACTCCCAACAGATGATAAAAAAAAAAATAAGATTTTTGATATATGTACTTACCATACAATTTTTTTAAGTCCATTGAGAGACACAGACAGTGGCGGAGTAGTTCTCTATAGCCCGTGCCATTCTGCATTGCTGTAAATATTAGGGATGTATATTGGACACCAAAACATATCGGCCGAAAATTGCACTTTTGGCTAAATGCCGAAAGTGCCATTTTTCTGCCGATACAGCGGCGCATCCCTGCTTTCTTTCCTTCCCGCTGGGTGCTGCTCTGTGTCCCAGCGGGGTGGAGAGAAAGTGTGACAGCCGGCCGAGCGCTGTGTTTGTGGGGGTTTTTTGGGGGGAGGGGGGCCCCAAAAAAATCTTGCACCAGGGCCCTTTGTTCCTTAGGTCTGCCACTGGACACAGATGCCGTTTCTCTGTATTATTGGCATCATGTACTTCTTGCTCACAATACTGAGACAAAATGGAAGCAGGGTCATACAGGGGCAAGCTTAATTTTTTTTGTTTGCTAGTATCCCTACCCATTCTAGGTGGCAGTATAACCCAATTGTCTCAAAATTACTAAGGGACAATTTACACCAGATGTGTTGTAGCTGCGCTGGCTGTTGTTTTCAGCACAGTGCCAATGCAAGACAAGGCAATTTGCCTTGTCAAGGACGGGCTCGGTTCACACCACCACATTGCAACGAGAACGCAGTGGTGTGCGGTGAAAAAAAAGTACGGCATCTTGTACCTTTTTTTTTCAGCACAGCAAGTGAATGAGCCCTCAAATTCCTTTGACCCTCAATGGAAATCAAGAAAAAAGATTTTACAATAAGTACAATACAAGGTTCAAAGAGTTTTTGTTGGCAGACTTTAAAGGTACCCACATAAAATATACCATTTTAATAAAATATACAAACTTTATTTTCAAATTCATGTAAATTCATGTGACTTTTCTTCACACAGTCTTGATGTGTCTCATTGTTTCTCATCCATTAAATCCACTATAGTATAATGCTTAAAATTCATATGTTATAGTAATTGAAGGTTCAAAACCTTTACATTTCATATAAAAATGGGGATATTACAGTATGAGTTCTCTGCTTTAGTTCCATTTCATGGAAAGCTACTTCATCATGAGCTTACAAGACTTTAAGTGGTAGTGGGAGAATGCTCAACTCACATGTTAAAAAGTTGAATAAATAAAAAAAAATCTGCAGGCAAGTAAAGAGACCAAAGGCAGCCAAATTGGGTTGAACTCAGGTCACACAGGCTCTGGTGGTGGAAAGGTGCAGTATGGTAGGGAAGAACAGGAGAGCTCACCTCCTGTCTGCCATCCAATAATGGCCATTGCAACTTATTTCATTTTTGTTGATGGGTTTGCCCTCTTGTACTTTTTTCCTTAAAAACTAAAGCAACAAGTTTTTTTAATATTACAACACACATTGTTAATGTAAACTGTTAATGTATATGTGAAATCCTGTATATGTTATTTTTTTTAAATTGTATATATTTAGTCAGCAGTATTACTTTAGTACATTTAGTTGACTGACCTCTTACTCTGAGATTGCCCCACTGTCACAAGATAGAGAAGTCTGAGAAACTCCCTCTAGGAACAGCTGTCTTTCACTGCTGGGGCATCACTTTTGACTAGGAAACACTTCACAGATAGCACAACTGTGATGGTTACACTGTTAGATCCCACCTTGTGCAGAGATTGTTTTGCTCTGGGACAATCATTTTAGCACAAGTAGACTGAGAGGGATCACCTACACCACACATTATTTACAGCATCTGCTGTTGCAAATCTGACCTATAAATTAACTAAGCAAGATAGTAAGAAAGTAAGATAAAATGTCTATATCATTTGCAGACATCTTCTCTGGTCCCTGGAGAGGGCATTACAGAGCCAACACACACCCTAAGGGTCTCCGCCCTCATGTGTTGAAGTGGTGTTGGAGTGTTTTTTTATTGTTCAGCTGACACACCCTTAATGCCTACTAAATACATCTATATTTCCATCATCCAAGGTTACACAATTAGACAATGAGCATATTATTTAATATTTAATATGCTTTGTGTCAAATTTGTCTTAAGCTCGGTAGTGTTCTATTAAAAGTGTCACCCCCACACCATGAATGCCTAGCACAGATATAAGATTTGAATCTGACTGTTTTTGTTACCAGCTTGCTAATATTGGAGAACATTAGGGTGGTACAGTATTCATTACCACTCCCCCGCTTTCTTCTCATGGTTTGGGGTTTGTCAAACCTCATTTTTGTCAAAATAATGTTATCTATGAAAGGGGAACCCCGTCAGCAACTTACAGCATGCACATGTACAGCATGTACGTCTGCTGTCTCCTTTTGTTGGGAAGACATGGCTGCCAATGCCACTGCTATATGGCTATGCAACAAACAAGCATTGCTATCACAATGGATGTGATGGTACCTGGCAGGTTTAGCAGGTAATATTTAAAAAAAACACACAAAGTTATATAGTAAAAATTGGCTGTAAGACTGTGGTGGTTCATTGGGTAGCCAGTCTCTGCAGTTTGGGGTTTTGGGTTTACAAACAGTATTTTAAAGTGACAGTAAACTCAGAAGTTGAATCTTAAAAATGCATTTTACATAAACTATTAACAAAATGTATCTTATTTGTGTATCACTGAGCTGTAGATCCTCAAATCAAGTCTGAATTGGTGCTGAGACTGTCCTTCCTTCTGAAGGGTGGCCATGAGTATGAATTCAGAGATGATTTGAGGATCTACAGCTGAGTGATATACAAAAAAGCCACATTTTTGTTACTAGGTAATCTACTTTAATGCATTTTTAAGGTTTAACCCCTGGGTTTAGTGTCACTTTAACATGCATTGTGTGTGTGTGTGTGTGTGTGTATGTATGTGTGTGTGTGTGTGTGTGTGTATGTATGTGTGTGTGTGTGTGTGTGTGTGTGTGTGTGTGCATATGTATGTATACATGTATATAATCACTTTACATTGCTGTTAACATGTATGTATATCTCTTTTTCTTTTAAAGATTGTTACAGTAAACTGTGCCAGACTTATAAAGGCTGACCATCATGCAACAAATGGTGTCGTCCATGTGATCGATAGAGTTATAACAGCCGTGACAAACAATATTGCTCAAGTGGTTGATACCGAGGACAGCCTGGAGACCCTACGAGTAAGTTCCTATTTTCCATAATCAGAAAATGCCGAACTTGTACAAATCTCTTGGTGGTGTTTTACTCATCATAGAAGTGATGGAAAGTTACATTTTATTGAGCTGACAATTGTATGCGTAATAAAAAACCACTTCCTTGCAAATCAGTTTATCTTTATTTTTATATTTTTATCTATATTTTTGCAGAAGTTCAAGAACATCTGTTGGTAAGAAATGTTAGAGCAAAAAGGAATAACATTTTCTGTGAATACAAAAGGTTCCTCTGACTAAGCTGTAGGCCACAATGGGCCATCTGTGTATCCATGCATCTTCACTAAGAATTATCAGTATTACCTCATGGTCACTTTTAGATTCTCAGTAGTCATTTTACAGGGCAGGTTTAAATCGTATTGGTGACTGTGAGGCACTGACAAACTAATACATGAGGCCCCCTTTTAGTGCTCATTCACAGTTATGTGTTTTAATATATGTCAATGGATGTAAGCAAGTTAGCTTTTTTTTCTGTGGTGGTAGTTAACATATGTGCAATGACTTGATGTGCATTGTCTATCTTTTGATGCATCCACAAATATTACAAGGTCTGTTGATGACAATGGCAGTGCGCAGAATGTTGTCAGATCAATCTTAGACTATGTACTGTATATTTAAATATAAATAATAAATATAAATGAGGTTGGATTTTTTAAAGCAATGATTTAAATTGAAATGTAGTTATTTAAAATCCTGTCAAAATAACATTGCCTTTATGTACGAACGTGCAACCTCGAGTTTCATCACTTGGAGTTAAGGATGTGTTAGCTACGAGAGTTAGTGGAGCAGTTCTTAAAGTTAAGACTTGTATGAATTGTTGCATGAGACACATTAGTATGTAATGTGCTGGATGTTGTGTGATTGGACAACCCCTTTGTCCAGTGTATCACAGCAAGCACATGCCAAGCAACGCACTCTATAAAAGTTCGGTTAGTGAATGTGCCGCTTTGTGGTAAATCTGTCAACTTTCATATTTTTTACAGTAGTTTTTTTTCAAAAAAAAAAAGAAAACTTGAATAGAGATAGGAAGATCAATATATTAAAAAACATAACTTTAATAATTTTTTATATTGAAGGCTGCTGTAGCTGCATCAGGACTCAATGATATCTTGGAAACTGAAGATAAACAGTACACACTTCTTGCTCCCACCAATGAAGCCTTTGAAAAGGTTTCACCAGAAACACTCAACAGAATCCTTGGTGACCCAGAGGCATTAAAAGGTAATCTACCTGTACAGACAGCTGACCAGAGGCTGAATATTAGGTGGTCTTTGTGACACCATCATGTTTACCATCACTAAGAGCAATGCCTTTTCCTAACTACTCACCCCTATCTCTTCCAAATATATTACATACATTTCAGCATAATACAACTCTATTTTTATTAGGATAAACAAAAGCCCCATTTATCTCAGGAAAAAAATAGTTTGCTTAATCAGCCAATCACATGTTAAAATTTGCAGAACATAGACAGTTTTTTTCTTTCTGGCATTTTGAAAGTTAAAAGCCATAGTTATCTTCTGCACATACTGGTGTTAGAACATGCTAGTTATAACAATATGCTTTATTATGAGTTTCTTAGAATTTAATTATTGCACCCAATGGACTGCTTTGATTCACCACTTTAAACAGTATTTCTTTTCAATAATGGAAAACATTAGATTATCATTGCTAACTGGTCAAATGTAATGTAAAACAAATGACCATTTACCAATAACTTTTCTTTACACGAGGTTCTCTGTTTCTGCTATTACAAAATCTTGTGTACCCTCTTCCACCTACATGTCTCTTATTGACTTTAGCCATAAACATCTAGTGGTAACCAGAAGAAGGAAACAAAACCACAATCTACAGATTTTAAGGTTCAGTGCTGCCCCTTCAATTTATGCTACTTTAGGCAACGGTCTTGCGTGCTGTAATTAAACATTGCCAGCTTTCAATGAGAGCTGACAACATGCCTATCCTAGGACAATAATATTAATAGCAACAAAGCTGATTGCTTTACCCTTTACAACTACAGAATCAGCCTAATATAAGGTAGAAGTGGCTGTCTATCACTCAATGCTGTGAGATACTTGTATATGACTCTCAACCTTTTTTAAAATTAGCTCTTAAGGGGGGTAAAAACATTTTTTAAACTATTGCTTGAGCAGAAGAAGACACTAAAAATAATTGTGATTTCATTTACATCACTCTAGGTGCTATATACAGAATTTATTTATATTTCTAATATAAATGGAATTATGACTTTTAATCCATCACATCCATATATGTAAACCTAATTAGATATTTTACATTTTTAGACATGTTACTCAAGTATAATGGTTATAAAATATCAAAAAACGCTACTAAGGCTAGATTTAAACTGCAGTGCTCTGTGAAATGTAAAAACATTTTGGTATGTAGTTTTTTCCTCTCATATGACTTATACATATGTTTATAGATCTCTTGAATCACCACCTCTTGAACAATGCCCAGTGTTCAGAAGCAATCATTGCTGGATCTTCTATTGAAACGCTTGAGGGATCTCCGTTAGAAGTTGGCTGTCTTGGTGATGAGCTTACACTCAACGGAAAAGCTATCATCTCTCAAAAAGACGTTTTGGCTACCAATGGAGTTGTTCACTTTGTTGATGAATTGTTGATTCCGGATTCAGGTATGTTAAAGAAGAACCCAGGTTTGCTTAACTCAAACACACACACACAACCACAAAGGTTGAACTTGATGGACCTGTGTCTTCATTCAACAACTATGTAACTATGTAACCTCCTGTTGTATTTTTTTCAGTCCCCCGTTACCTTGTTTGTTGAGTTATCCTCAAAAAAAATACTCACACACCCAGCAAATCCTGCAACACCCTGTCCCGCACCACCATTGTTTCTTCTGATATCATCAGGAGCCACTGTCTTTTCCTGTTGCTTGCAGCCACCCCCCTGATGATGTGTCGGTGTGTCATCAGAGGGCCAGCTGCAAGAATCAGAAATAGACAGCCAGCTCCTGATAATGCTTTGTGGCCCACGTGCGTTCCTGTAGATTTCCTCAAAATCTCTGGGGATGCATGATGTCAGTATCCCAGGAGGTGGCGGACAGCTGGGGGTACATCATTCTTGCCTAGGTGAGAAAACCAGGCATGAGGGGCAGCTTACATAAAAAAGTACTTACAAAGAAAAAAATATCTGTGTGAAAGGAAGGGGGAAGGAGAAAGATTATAGAAAGAGGCTGTAGTGGGTGAAGGTCTACTTAAAAAAAAATGACAATGTGTTATTAAATTTAAAGGAAAATACAGGCAGTAAAGAGGAAAAACATGGCACTGGAAACATATTTTGTTATTGTAGAATTTGTGAATAGCAGAGAGAGAGAGCAAGTGCTTCAGATCACCCATTGTAGTGGGACTGTCTTCTGTGTGTCCTTGAAAAGACTTGTACCACATAGTAGAATACAAAAAGGTCCAAATTTAGGCAAGACATTGCGTGCTCACAAACCCAGCAACTAGTGCTGATGAGGGTTGCAGGATGTAGCCAAGTCACTCTCGGAATGAGACGATGATTCACAAAATTTTAGGAGCAGCAGCGGGATTGTGCTTCCTCTGGGCTGAATCGTAGAAAAAAAGAGCATGTAGTATGCACACGCAACATTCCACCTAGTGGATGATGTCAGCACTTATTTCCCTCATCCTTAACCATTATTGCTGTAAGATTTAAAATAGCGCCCCACTGTGTGATGTTTTAGCCTGACCAGCTTTACTTACTACATGAGTCCTCAGAGACTGGGGCCAGAGCCAAGGATTGCCATGGCTCTAGATCTGGAGAGTGCACTGTGGCTAACAAAGTACACAGAAATCCAGAAAGTACCACAATGCAGAGCCTAACACCCAAACATCACATTGAAGCCTAGCCTCACAACGTCCAAATGCCTACTTACTAGCCTTCAGAGGCTGGGTCACACAGGAGGCCTTGTCACAGCTCTGGACCTGGAGAGCTCTCCAAAGCTAACAAACACAGTAAATCCACCAAGTTAAAATATATGTTTAATAGACCACCATGTACCAATAAATTCTATAACATAAATTATAAATCTTTGTAAAAAAATGTTATTAACACAGCTATGTCCCAACAATAAATTTGCTTATTGATCCAAAAACAAACACATGAAAATACCATGGTCAATCTTACAACCAAAAAAATCAGATTGCTGAATACATTACATTACAATATAATATATTTTAATCAATACCTGTGTTTGTAACAGCATCATATATATATATTAATAACTAGGGATGAGCTTCAGGTTAACCATGCGTTCGACCAGAACCAGCTTGCTTGCAGTTCGATGAATGAGCAAACTAACTGCCCAGATTTGGTGAGGTCGTCTTCCCGTCCAAACCTGTGGCTGCCACAGCTGAAAGTAATTTGGAGGCTGGCTTGATGCATCCACTAAATGAATGACTTCCCACTGGCTTGTTTCACAATGTAAAAGTTCAGTCATCTTTATTGTGGAATAATAGTAAGCCAAACAATATGCAAAAGTGATTTAGCACATCTGTATTCATAAGTGCATTTCCCCAACAAGTTTATAATGCTAGGTATGAATCTTGCTTTGGTGGTTGTCTACTGCCAAATGCTGCCAAGTCTACTGCCATGTGATAATGATTATTAATCTATGTATGAATGTGTTTATTTATTTATTTTACTTTTTTTACTTTACAGCTAAAACATTATCTGAACTGGGGAAAGATTCAGTTGCCTCTACAGTTATTGATCTGTTCAATCAAGCTGGATTAGGTTCTCACCTGGCAGTAAATGAACGTGTCACAGTGATTGCCCCAAACAACAATGCATTTAAAGGTTTGTCATTTTATAATTTTATAATTGTTGTTTATCTTTTACAATTTCGGCCAGTAAAAGATAAGTTATAAACCAGCCCATGAAGTTAAAGGAAAACAGCAGCTGTCACTCACGCAGCTGGGCGGATCGAGACATAATTGTCGGGATCCGTTTCAGCTGCGGCGTCTCAGTATACCGCGAGCTACAGCTCGCGGTATACTGAGCTTAGGTTGACAGGAGGACGCTAGTTTGTGTCCTCCCGTTACCCTAAGGAGAACTATGGGGAAAAGCCTTAACCCCATAGTTCTCCTTTAGGCATAATATATTTATTAAAGTAAAACATTTTAATAACAATACATGTGATAACGTATAAACGCCTGCACAGTAACTCCTTAGGGCTTGTTTACACCAAATCCGGACCAGATCTGCATGAGTTTCTGCACATGCAGTGTAGTGTGTTTTTCCTCATTTTTCCAGTGTTTTGTACCTGTTCTGGGTCATTTTAGAAAAACTATTTCGCCTAATTTGGGCTTTCAGGGCGTTTGCATGCGTTTTGGATGTGTTTGCATGCGTTTTGGTGCATTCCAGAGCAAAAAAAATAGGGCATGCTACAGTTTTTCCACATGCTCTGGAACTGAATGCTGTGGTGTGAACTAGAGCCAAAAATACCATTGGAATACGTTTGATGCAGTTTTGATGTGTTCTGTAACTGCTCTGCTCTGCATCTGCTCCGCACTTAGTGTGAACAAGCTCTTCAAATAGCTTTTAATATTATGTCTTTCTCTAATCTTCATGTTTAACAATACTACATGTACAGTATACTTGCTACAAACTAAGAAAACAGATTATCCTGCTAAGCATACAGTATTTCCTGCATTTTATTTAGAACACTTTATTGCAAATCTGTTTCTTCAGCTTCTTATGGTTTTGAGCTCCTACAAGCAAGTACTTGTCATAAATCTTTAGTAGAAAATGTGAAGTAAAGGAATGGTACATCACAGCTGTAACCCTCTAAGGTGCCTCACATTGAGATCTTTAAAACTGGTTCCTTATGCCATCAGCAGAATAATTATGGTGTTCTTCTGTTACTATTAAAATGCCTTACAATTCTTTCTGAAATGCTTGAAGGACCACTAAACATAAATCACAAGTTTATCTGTGTGAAAGAGTTTTTATGGCACTTATGGACATGTATGACAATGTATCAGATTCAAATACTAGAAATAGTTTAATAGGAATCTGCATTTTGAAACATATGTCCCAGTCAGTGTTTTCAGTGTTTTTGACGCAGTTGTAACTCCTAGGGATTAGCAAAATTAATATAGAGATTTAATTGCTGATTTTTCAGTGAAATTATATTTATAGTAAAATACATTGGAGTCAATGTGAAATTAAGGTGGTTTTGGTGGTTTTTAAAGGTGCCATTCATTTTAAATGGCTCCTGAAGGTACACAAAGAAAACTAAATTATAAAAAGAGTTCAAATTAAATGAAGAGCTCAAACAAAATGAAGAGTAGATTTTTTTTCCATGCAAATTTTACCACTGAGCAGCTTAGTGAGCAAAATTGAGTTTCGACTTTGGCTAAATCATTAATTTTGCTGCAAAATCAGTTCCACCAAAATCAACTTGCTCATTCCTAATACAAAGCATAATAAAGTTGTAGATTGCTGTTTCATGCTAGAGATTTCATGCCATTTTAATATTTAAGTAACATCTAATTGACAAGTCCACGGTGCATTTTATCCTATTTCAACAGCTGTTAAATATTGACTATTGTCCCGACTGTCTTTGTTCAGCAAACTTGTCAAACTGCAGAGGTTGTGCTCTGATCAAAAAGAAATCCAGATTAGAATGTAAATCCAGCCAACAGCTTAAGAAAATACAGCATATTCGTGAAGCAAAAAGGCACATTGGTCAAGGAATTGCACAGGAAATATTTGATACCTGCACGCTGGACAAATTCATATTTATTTCTTTGTGGATATAAAGATCATTGTTAGTTTTGCTATTGTGGCTAAACCGTTAAATATGAAGGGGGTTGTGATAATGACCATGAAAAACTTGAACAAGCAGTTTTTAGTAATCTAAGTGAAAAAATGAAAAAAAACATTAAGTGTAAAAAGAAAAAGTTATATCCCAGCTTTCAGTGTCCTCGCCCAGGCAAGGGTGACATGCCACAACCTTCTTATGGCACACTGGGAAAACTGAGGATCCCAAATCTGCGAATACAGCACGCCCTATAGCAGGGTCACATTGCACTTGCCCAGGCTATTGAATAATATCTTCCTCTCAAGAGAATCTTCTGTTGGTCCTTGACATGGAAACCTCCTAATACAGCATTCCACATAAACTCAACTTCAATTTGAGGATGCACTTCTCTTCCTGGGACAAAGGTGGTGGAAATCTCTGTGGTTTTCAGATAAATTATTAATTTATTGATTGGTTTTACTTATTCTATTAAAAGGTGCCTCTGTGCATATGTGCATATTTAGCCATGGCACTGAAAGGTAAAATATATCCTTTGGTTTTTTACCGCCTTTCTATTTAACATTAAATTATCTGTGAAGTACATCATGTTTCCATGCAAAGATCGTAACATCTCTAGATATGAAAAATCATGGTGCCCAATTCCGGTAAGGTAATCTAAAATTACATTGCATCAAAAATGTTATCACATGCTGAACACTAACACCCAAGAACCCTTATCAAATGTATTCTCTTGGGTCAATATCTTAGGAGGAAAAAGATTTTGAAAGTAAGACTTCACTTTTCTACTCTAGATTTTACTATTGAAGCTACAGCAATAGAATTGTGACCAGGACTTACCACAGTGAATAAACATTCCCATATTTTTAGGTCTAAGTATTACAATAGATATTTTTTTTTCACTGTTTACTTCATCGTTGCTTATAACTGGCAGTATATAAAAAGGTCAGATCCATACTTGCAAAGCAGGTTGTATAGGTGAATCAAGTCTGTGAGAGACTGCAATGCCAGCAGCAATTTAAGGGGGATACAAGGGGTGATCACTGCCAAAAAGGCTATGCTTACACGTGGAAAAATAAGATCCTACACCTGCCAACTCCCTTAGATCTATCAATCATTACAAGGGCCCTTATATAATTAGCTTGACCAAAGAAACTGTTTCCCTACGTTTTGATGATGGATAGTCATGTTGGCAAATAGGTTAAATGTATTTGCACAGTGGGATCCCTGAACAGTGATTTCTTCTGGATCTCTTTTATTATTAAACATATGATTAAAAGTAAGTTACGCAGTGTATGTAGTGTTGATGTTTAACATAAACATTATGACTTCTGTACTTAGATGGAGCACCAACCATTGACAAAGACATGACCAATTTACTTCAGAATCACATAATAAAAGATCAGCTTTCTTCCAAATATCTATATCATGGACAAGTTCTGGAAACAGTTGGCGGAAAAAAACTGAGAGTATTTGCATACCGAAATGTAAGTATTTATAATTGATATACCAGAATTACTGTATGTATTTCCTTAAAGCCTATTTATCAGTTTAACAAACAGTAAAGGATTTTTTTAAACAAGCCATCCCAACCTTTTTAGCTTCTTGTATCTTGAAGTAATGCTTTCTCAAAGATCACAACAATTACACTAAAGTCCAGTTTCAGCCAGTTTATATCACCTTAGATACACCTGCTTTGTGTTGTATATTAGAAGGCTGGCAGTCTCCCAAGATCCTGTTCAATAGAAAGCAACAAGAAAAGAGCTAAGATTTTAGTGACTCTGTTATGAACTTTGAAGATGAATTTCCCCACAATGCAAATAGCTGCAGAGGTGCACGTGGGCTTGTTTTAAAATGCTTTTACTGCTTGGTTGGAATATGTAAAAATATGTAAGTGTGCATTGTATCGACACAAGGTCACTTTACAGTATTATTATTCATGAATGTTGAACAGTTTGACTTGGTCATCTTTTATAGGCCCTTTGCATTGAAAACAGCTGTATAGATGCACATGACAAAAAGGGAAGATATGGTACTCTGTTTATTGTTCACAAGCTGTTGACTCCACCATCAGGAAATGTAATGGATGTTCTTAAAGCTGATAATCGCTTCAGGTAAACATTATTTTCCTTTTTATAACGTGAGACATCAGACCAGTGTTGTTTAAACTTTTAATTTTGTGTCGAGGGTTTTCCATCACAATTAAGATTACTTATGTAAGGTTATAATAATGATAGTTGTATAGGTTTACCAATGGTAATTCTTGGACCGACAAGGATTCCTTGGACCTCTCTCGACTAGGGATGCACCGATACCCGTATCGGTATAAGTGTACCGAGTATTTGGGTGACCCGCCTCCCAGATTCCTGATTGGCCGGGAAGCCGGCTCCATGCTTATTGGCTGGGAAGCCGGCTTCCCCGCCCACCAGGAAGCTGGGCGGTGAGTCATTAC